TTTACATAGTTTATAAGCAGTTATTCACTATCTGTTTCCTTTATTCATTTCCTGTTGACATACCTTGTCGTGGCAAAACACATGAAGTATGAGTCAAGCCAGTGTTTTCTTTGTAAAGCATTGACTATGTAATGGAATCCTCACCCTGTATAAATAATGACAGGTAATTTTACTTTTCACTGCAGCTGTATACCTACTCATTTTCTCTCATTTTTGTTTAACTTCAATATTGAAACTTTGAAATGCCATACAATCCAGTGTTCCTCCAGTCTTGGAATAAATTAGATAGGTAATCTTAAAGTATTGCTTAGCATAGTATATTTTATACATGCTGTTATCCATTTTTAAACTATCTATAAGGTATATAAGTTATATCAAGCAATTTTGTGCCTCTGATATGTTGAAATAGTATGTACAGTGCATTCAAAATGAAGCATCAGTGACACAATCAAAGGCTCAGAATTGCTTTCCCAGTGACAGAATTCTCCCATCACGACCTTCTCGATATATCCAACCCTCGTTCAGATATACAGTCCCAACCTTTTACCCTTGTACAGGTTTCCTGTTTTATTTACCATAATCAAAAGATATGAAAAACTGAAAACTAAAATTTGGATGCATTGCAAGCATTTTTTTTCTTCTGTAAACGCAATTCTGGATGTAGTATTGGGATGCCAAAACTTAGTGCTTGCCAAAGGAATTGTATGGAACTTGTATGAACATAAATAGCTTACATGTCTGTACAATCTAAAATGCATATAAAGGCTTTCAATATTTGTACTAATTGTCAGTTGAAAGAATGCCTGAGGAAGTACAAGTTGGTCAAGAAAAAGACTAGGAGCAGATTATAATGTATTATGTTAATTTGTCATTATTAGACAGGTGCTGTCTTCTGTATGGAAATTCCTCTGTTATTTTATTCATGAGTATTTTATTTAGTGAAATATTCTTGAAAATATTGAGTTTGCCTTCATATTGGCAAATTATTTTGCTAGTGCAATTACTATTACTTACATTATTGCAGAGTAATTGAATGATGATAATGTTCAAATTTACATTGTGTATGCTTAAAATATCTAAAATGGGATTAGGTGCTTTGTTTTTAGAATATGGTGATATGACAATATGCAAATGGCAATACAAGTGGATTTTTGTGTCAGAAATGCTGAGTTCAGGCTAGTCTTACTAATTTACTCAGAATGATGGCATCAGGCAGATGCAGCAATGAATCTATATGATTACCATAGTAGAAGCTGGGCAAGACCTACTTATCGTTATATGTTATGTTTCTTGTATATTTCTAAATGCTTTATCATTATAATATGCTACACAAACCACCAGACATCTCTTCACCTTTCCTTCCCACATATGCCAATTGATGAATAGCAAGTGCAAATATATGTTGCTGAAAATATTCTAATGTGGGTATTTTGTTTGTTCTGTGTAATATAGGGCATTTATATAAATTTTTTGTCTTGTTGATTATGCAAATGATTTTTTTCAAAGATGCTGTAAACTGTTACATAGGTAATCAGGTTATAGTGAGTTTTTTTTTTTTTATATATATACAAATCACAGATTATGAATGTTGCATTATGTTGAAGGATCCTATGTAATATAGGACCTATATTGCCTTTGATAATCAGTTAAAAATTCAATATAACATTGGCTTTGTGTTTAATATTGTTTTAATATGCTGATATTTGCATTGGTGATTGATAGGGTTGGCAAGGTAATTAGTAATTTAATCCACAGGATATCAGGGTGTTTAGGTCACATTCTGTATGGTCCAAGCTACTAGTAATGGCAGTCAGATATGAAATGTACATAAACTGTTACAATCCCTGAGAACCAGTACCTAAGTTTTGTATCCTAACCTTAGGCAATATATCCTAGAATATATTGGGAATATACTTTGGCAGCATTTTATTTGAAACTTGTTTGTTTTTCCTGTACTCTACTTACAAGTGCTTTAGGTTCCGAGTGCCCAAGTGTGTAACCTCTGCCCTTGATTTGCAGTTGTATAGTGTAATGCATATATTTACCTAGGAAACAGTGTGTCAGTTTCACCTTTCAGATTCGAATGTGATAGTCTTTTAAGTTTTATGAATGTCTAGGATTACATTTATACCAAATTTAGTTTTCACTTGTATTTGTGATCAGTTTTAAACAATAATTTTTACTTCATAAATGTAAGTTGAGTCTCAGTCATTTTAGCTAAAATCAGATTTAATTTTCATATTTATGAAGTGCATTGCTTTGATTATATGTAAGCCAGTCATTTTGATTTAAGAAAATTAATTATTATTGCTGTTATTTATGTGGGATTTCTTTCTGCAGTAAAAAATGTCAAGAAAAAATATTAATATATGGATACTTCACCCATGTTCATGTGTTGAAGATGGCATATCCTTTGTTGGATGATATGACTTAAGATAATTTTTTGAAGTAGGTAACTTTACTACAGTATTGTAAACCCAGTGTACATAAAATGTAAATAAAAACCTCATATGATATGTGATGTGTTTTTATACTTGAAAGACCCTCCCAGTCCCTTGCTAATTGTCATGGGGGGGGGGGGCTTAGGAGATGGTGACTGAGGCCCAAGGTAGGGGACCACCCTACCTGCTGAATGCTTTGTGTTAGTCATGGATGACCTCCGGGAACCATGGGCACATTTATTGACAACTCCATCCATTCTACATCATACACCCAGGTCATTACTCACCCTTCAGAATGCACCTCTCTCCCAACATTCATTATCTACCTCCTCCTTCTCCATGGCTTATACCTAACCCCTGTATTTGCTCCTCAGTTTTCCCTGACCCACCAAAATCAGATATTCCGTCCTCTATCCTTCTCACTCACTTCCTTGACCATGTCTCCAGTCATTCCTCCAGCATTCATGTTTACACTGACGGTTCCAAATCCATCTCGGGAGCTGGATTCGCAGTAACATTCCCAAACTGCACTTTCAAATACTAATATTAGATTGTCTGATGTAATGGGCAGAGCAAGCAGGAGGGATAGTCACTTGGGAAGTGGGGACCTGAGTGTGGATTTGAAATGGTAAAAGAATTTGACAGAGAGGTAGGGGGTAGAATTGGGAACATAAAAATTAGGAAGAAGAGATACTAAGGGAGATGTAGAAACTTCTTGGGGAGATGGGGGAGGGTCATAGCCAAGGACAGCACTGGAATTGGTAATGAGAAAAACCTTGTCAGTGTGCTTCCAACTTGGCCTTGCATAAAATAAGGCCAAGTTTGAATTTGAGGACTGCTACTTGTAGGTAGGGCAGCCCCTATAAAATACATTATGAGATGCACCACAACTGGTATATGTGTGTGATTACACAGGGCAATTTGAGTGATCGTGGCCAGGTTGGGCATATAGAGCAAGCTATGGAGTGACATTATTTAGCAGGGTGTCCAAAATGACAGCATTTCTGACATTAACAGGGGACGAGTCTATATGGTTGGACAGGGTAGGACTCTCCACCAACATAAACTTCATGAGAGAGGTCATGTCTACAGAAAGTAATATTGGCAATATTGGTGTAGACCTTTTGGAGGCCTTGGAGGAAATGGTGTAGCACTGTAGCATAAGCAGGTTGTTTTCACAGTCTAACTAATCCTTGTCATACAGAAATCAGCTGGGGAGATGGAAACAGTTCTGGTACAAATATTAAGGGAGGAGTGGGGATGGGCTGGAATACGTTTGCCAGAGAGGTCAGTCAGGGTAGATAATGTATGAGCTTGTGGCTCAGATGTAACTGTGACAAGGTGTGAATCATCAGAATGGCTGATCATCCCCAATATCCTCTGTAAAGGATATTAATTATGTATGTCCATGTGTTTACACTAGATATGAATAAATATGAAAGGTTTATAATAATTATATAGCAAAATATGAGTAAAAAAAATATATATACAAATACAAATTTAGATGCATGAGTAATGATGTGGATCAAGTTTACATTTAAATGAAACCTCCTGGCAGCATAAATTAGCCTAGATATTAATTACATGTATGCAGAGTATAAAGTCTGTATGAAAATAAATAAAAAAAACAATACAAAGCTTTTCAATTTCTTTTACGGTAACTGCTACTCCCCCATTGTTTATGATGAAAATATGAGAAAGTTGAAATTACTGGCATGTTTTGTTTGTACAGTGTCTTATAATTTGAAATGCTTTACACAAGATTTCATTTGGTAAGAAGAGATATATCACTAGCTGCAAATGTATTTACCAAATAAACCATTCCAGTGTTCTCGGTTTCATCCTTGCTTCCTCTTCATCAGCAGTGTGCAAGTTGGAGCTGAGAAATTTCTGCGACTCCTAGTAACCTTTCCACTTCTCTTTTCAGATAGGTAAACCACAGTGTGATGGAACTATGATAAGAAGCAGAGCAAACTTACTTGTCTATATGTTTATTGCATGTCTTTTCTTTGTGAAAAAAGAAATACTGCCACAACCCAATTGCTAATAACATCTAAAATACAGGAATATGTTACTAATGAAAATTTAATTCAACATCAGCAGAAAACATGGAAAAGGTGGAGATGATGTGAAGATGGAAGGAGAAAGATGGGGATGGAAAAGTCAAAGAGACCCTGTTAAATTCCTGTTTCTTACAATTCTATGCTTTCCCCTAAACAGATGACTATGGGCACATCTGTGTTAAGGAGTTCCCATTGCAAAAGGGTTTGCCAGTAAATATGATATGATCCGTTGAAGTATATAATACCAAAACAATATAAAATCTTACTTTTGAAATGTTGTGCTACATAGACTAAATGTTACTATGTGATACCATATGCAGGAATGACATTAATAAAGGTTTTTCTTTTTCAAAGTAGTTATTCTTCTCTGAGAAAAAAGAAAGAAAGAAGAAAACTTTCAATATACTTGTGACGTAATGTCATCTTATAAGCATACACATTTAGCCATTATTAGGTTTATAAAATACAGCCATTATCAGGTTTATGAAATACAAACTAAATTCAAAATTATTTATTACACATTATGAACATATTCTCATTATTTACACAGAGCCAAGGAAATGAAACACCCTAACAAAATGGTTAATCAAATCCATTCCAGGACTTTTTATTCCCTTTGTTTCCCTATACAGGTTATAAGAGGGACAATTTTCACTCCTTGTTATAAATATTATTCTCAATATCTAGTCTCAAATGTAAAATATCAGTTTCCACTCGTCAGACACTGAAAATTTAAACTTATGATGTTTTCACCTGCAATCTAAACCAATGTTCTACCATTCAAATATTCTTGAAAGAGGTTTAAATAGGGCTAGACTTGAAGCCTCTTGCAGCATAATCGGATGCTTCCTTCCTGTCAGAGACCATTGGGTATCTTGAATCAGCTGGGGTGATGATTGGGCGGGCTTCCAGGACTCGCCAGCCTCCCTTGCGGGTCCAGTCCTGAGAGGGAAGCGAAGTTGATGTCCAATTGCATTATGATTTTTTCCCTCTCCAGAGGGCAGTTTTAATACTATCAATATATGGGAAGATGGTGAGAGGGAGGGGGAGAGCGAGATACATAGATAACCTGCACTCGCAGATATGATATACATATATTTAACTTTCATTTGTATTTTCCACTGATAATATGCAGGAATGAACCAAATTAAACTCCTTTATAATTTCTTGAGTATCTTGAACATTCACAAGTTAATCCACTAATTGCAGATGGCAGGATTTCATGCCAAGGAAAGTATCAACCATAAATGCAGATGGCATATCATGGTACAACATAGGTTGCACCAGCCCACAGATGACCAAATATCCTGTAGCACTCTGGGAGTACAAGGAACACATCATTAACATCATTAGTTCAAGAATGTTTTCTTCACAGGGGAAATATTAGAAATCATCTTGCAGGAACCTAACAGGCAAGCTATCATCTTCCCTGATTTTGTAAATGATACAAAGGCAACACCATCTGAATACATTTTCATTCTGCAAAACTCTAACAAATGCTTATTATCTATTAGATATAGGGCCATGAGTGGAACTGGATTCCCCTGACACTCCCCACACTACAAGTCTTTCCCCTTTGGATCGTAGTTGGAGGCTCCTATTTATCAGAAGTATATCCTCTGGACAGATCTGAACAGACATCAACATACCTCAGCTTCCCTGACAATTGTGCCCTGGATACTGACAACATGCTATGGAAACCCAGTCACATCATTAGACTCCTGCACTGCCATTGTTGGGTTGTATATATGCCTCCACAGAGTATCAGGAGCTGCCTCAGGTTTGTGACCTACAACCTATCCAAGAGGGCAAGGTTGAGCTTCAAACTGTATAAATTGCCTCTACATGTCCATTGTGCAGCTACACTTATGCCTTTCTTTCACTCAGGGCTGGATGTTGGGGAAGTTGCTTGCTTCCCATAAAACTGGTTGATCTAACAGTCTGTGGAAGTTTTTAATTTTCAAAACATACCTATCAGAGAGAAAGTTTTCAAATAGGTAAATCTTCCCACCGTGTTCCATTGGCTCCAAGGGAGGAGGGCAAGCAAGTGTGGTATGCTGGCAGCCTAACAGGTAGTAGATGCCCTAAAAACAATGGAGAGACTTGTTCTCCATGCTCCAAACCTCAACCATGATGGAGATCAATATGATAAATGAAAATGGGGGAAATTAAAAAGAAAAATGAGGAAAATTTAAAGAAAAAAATATGGAAAGATGCCATGAAACATGAAAAGTGTAAGATGCATCCTCAGATGCTTTGTGGATTAAAAAAAATAAAATCAATAATTAATCCATGTAATAGATGTGGATTTTTACCCTCAACAATCAATTATACCACAAGTAAGAGTTGAGTAAATTTAGGTTTTCCATAGTTATATGTTTTCCCTCTGTGTGTTGCTCAATGGGAGACCCTGTCAAGAGTGGGTTAATTAAGCAAATTATTCTCTGAAAGTAAAAGCTTTGTAGTTGTTCCATGACAAGAGATGCCTATGTTCTTTTCCCTTTTTTATCTCCCACATGAATTAACAAGATAAATGAGCTCACAAAAGTGCTCCACATTATAGAAATACATTATGGCATTGGTTAAATTAAACAATTAGGAAATATCCAGTAATTTCCTTTCTTTCTGACAAAAATTGAAATTTCATCCAAGTTCTGTTTAACATTTACCATAAAAATTGATACAAAGATCATGTACATATGTATACCATAAACACCTAAAATAAAATATTTTGCATGATTATATCAACATTACTAACCTCTCTCAAGTCTCAATTAGAGGAAAAACAAAGTTTCAAACCTCTCCAGTTTCACTACCGTCTCCTACAATGCCAATGTGAAATAAATATAAGCCAAATTCTGCACCACATCAGATAAAACTGCTGGAAGGCTGCATACACTATGCTCATATAATCTGCAGTTACAATGTACAGGCTGAAAATGGTTCTTTCTGAAAGACCTTTACCAAAAAATACCTGGAACTTCCTGAATGTTCTAAACATACCTGTTAAGAAATAAGAGCAATAATACTTACGTTTGCATTATACTTGAAGTAGTAGTATGTAAGCAATGCAGCACCACCTGCCATAGCAAACTTTCCAGTAAACCAACGGTATTTTGCAGCTCTCTGAAGACCCTGTATGAGATATTAAAAAAACTTATAGCGTCAATTGTCAAAAAAAAAGTCAGAATAATAGACTGATGAACAATAAATGCTAATACTACATAACTATTGTGACAAATATCAAAGCAAACATGTGAACATGTAAATGTTTGAACTTAATAGTAATCATAGGGGTTACCACACAATGGTAAAAGGACCTTTTAATCATTCATTCATGATGTCAAATGAGAAAATAATTGCAACACTCTTTTGTCTTCACTACTACTACTTTTGTTTGAGTGAGTAGATGCCTCTCCTTTATAAGCTCCTCAATTAACACTAATTTGTAAAAACTGCAAGCCGCCTCTCTACATGACAGCCATTTCTTAGGTAATACAATTGGCTTGATGAATATAGATAATAATTCATATAAAAAGGGTCATTGATACTGAAAACACTATGAACCATAAGGCAAATATAGTCTGCCTATAAGCTCTTACCATCACGGAAACAAGAGGCTTGAAGAGGGTGTCCAGAGGCCACCTGTAGAACCGACGAATGGGGTTGTAACGAGCTTCATAGAACCCTGGCACTGTACGAGGTTCATTTGGAGACAGAATCTGCTCAAAAAGATAAGAAAGAGTACTAGTGTGAAAACTCACTTGCGGTTGTAACGAGCTTCATAGAACCCTGGCACTGTACGAGGTTCATTTGGAGACAGAATCTGCTCAAAAAGATAAGAAAAGAGATTTCACATTACTAGTGAAAAATGAAAACTCAAGAATAATAACTTGCAGAAAGGAAAGTGAAGCTACAAAGATAAAGAATGGAGAAAAAATAATAGAAAAGGAGAATAAATCATTCTATAGCAATACAGAAATCCTCTTGTAACAACTGGTGACAAAGGTCTACAATGTACAATAGTTTGATTACGAATGTACTTTGTAGATACTGAAAGTTATCTACTGAGAGAGCAAATACTTTGAAATTAAATGTTCTTGAGTCTCACTTTATCAATCAAGAATCTCTTTGGGAACATGAGGTACACTATCATGACATTCCACTGAATACTAATTAAGAATCTATCAAAGGTTCTGACTTGGAGAGAGGGGAAAAGAAAAAAAAAAAAAAAAAAAAAAAAAAAAAAATCCTTATTCTGCAAAATACTAGACTGCAATTATCATTCTAGTGTTCAAAACATTTCCAGCCTTAGCCCAAGATGTGGGAAGTAAAATCAACAAGACCCAATTGGTAGGCAAGCCCTATATAAACACTATATAACAAAGATATCCCTAGTACTGAAATTAAATAATAATACTGACCTGATCCTTTAGCCACTGTTTGCGATAAGCTCTATCGGCATCTGTCATGCCTGCTAAACGTGTCCGTTCATTCTTGAAGGGTCCCTCAATGGGGAAAGCCTTCACACCGCCCGTGTCTGCAAACCAAAATGCTAATGAAACAAAAACTAAAATACATGTAAAACTAAAATATAAAACATCAACAATAAAGGAAGAATGGTTAATGGTTAAAATCAAAATAAATGTGCTAGACATCTAAGGTCATATAGCACTATAGGAAGGTAATAATGGAAGAAAATAGTAATATTAGACATGAGTATTAAATAAAAAATACATATCAAATGTATAAATACAAGTGGCTAAATACAATAAATGTAGAATACAGGCAGCCTGACAAAAAAATTGAAGTAAATATTTAATGTTTAATGTTTGAAACAAATAAATCTGCTAAACATCAAAGATCATATAGCACTATGGTAAAGTAATGTGTCAAAGAGGGTAAAGAGGAGTTAAGATTAGGATAAAATGTGTTAGATGTCAAAGATTAGAGTGCGTTTGTGACATGGAATTAAGTTGGTTTATTGGTTAGAACACTGGGGCTTTGGATGGTATGAATTCCTGTAGAGTTTTTTTGAAAATTGGTGTATCAGTCTGTCGAGTTTCAAAGAGGTAATTCTTTATAGTACCGACAAACTCATCAGAAACTGAGTTCCCATTTCTACATTACAATCTTCTAAATTAACATGACTGTTCATCCCCCAGGGAATCTTCATCTCAGTTTGCACAGAAAGATAAGAGCTGAAACTAAGGAGCACCGGGCAGACTTTGACTGAGTAGCATTTCTAAAATCTTTCTTTTAGTTTGTGGCGTTACTGTTTGTGTCTGCAGATTATTTCTTTATTTTTTTGGATGACGTACACATGGCTGTTGTGGACTGCATTGCATACTCTTAGTATCTTTCTTCCTTTACCCGTCTTCTTCAACTTTCCCTAGCATAGTGCATCCATATGGTAAACATGAACTTTGCTTGCTCTATATTCATTCCATTTCTGCTTGTTTTATCCCATAATTTCCCTTACAAACTATCGCAAAA